GAGAAGTTAAGACACAACCGCAAGAACATTATTTTTATTTGGTCAATACACACAATACACATTTATACGGAACAACCAGCGTATGGCATACGAAGGATGAAGAAGCAAACATTCACATTCCACATATTTTGAACAAGTTTGTGGTGCCGAAGTATTTTCATGTTAGCCAGTTAAAAACTTTTCACATGTAAATATTAGCAAAATTAAAAGGAAAACTTGCAAATGCGCTTAATAATCATAACAAATATAATCATGAAACATAACAATAACAACAACATAAAATTTTACTTTCAGTGCTTACTTAATTTGTTTAGTTTGTAGCCATTTTTCTTAAAATTTTAGTTAGCACACATTTATTTGCGTTCCACTGATATGGCCAATTGTGAGGCTTTTAATTTTATATGCTGAAATTTAAGTACCTAATAAAAAAAAAATAAAAAAAAAATAGTGAACTAAGTATAGGTAGCGAGGTATAATTTTTTGAGTTGTTTTCAAAATTGTTGTGCACTTTCAAAACCAGGTTCATTTTAAAACGCAATCGTTCTGCTATATTAGGGAAGGAAGGACCTTGAGAAATTTTCTTGAGAAAAATTCAGGTATCTTGCAAATAAATAAAATCAATTATATGAATGTTTTTTATTTACAACCTTCGTAAATCAGGATTCTCTAAAAGACATATCGTTCATATCTAGGAGATAAAAGTAGGCCTCCAACAGTAAAAATTAAAATAAAGCGATTTTCCAAACCTTTTGCCGACCTCTAAAACGCAGGCGATTTTAGATTCGGTGTTCGTATCCTGAAATTCGCTTTTTAAGTTCTGAAGTTCCCGGATCCCGGTAAGAAAAATCCACATGTCTTACAAATTAATTTAAATAATAAAAAAGATAATCAAAGATCTGGCATCTACCGATTATTTTTTATTTGCTGCTTTGCAGTTCCTTTTCGTCCGAATAAAACATAAAAAGGGCTTATTTCATACAATACTTATAAGGAAGATTTTCTGTATTTGCTGCGGTTACGGGTTCTATCGGAGTGTCGAGAAGGGATTTTGGTCCCGTCCCGCCGGCAAAATTTTTAAAGACCTTTCCAATACCGCCCATCGCGGCCATTTTGAAATCAGCAACGTATGTACCGCGGGTCCCGATATCCCGCCCATCTCTAGTGCTTACCTACTAGATCTTGATCAAATAAATATATTTATTTTTGCATGCATGCAAACATACCGGTCTCCCCTCTCAAAAATTAACATTTTTGCAAACACAATTTTCGAGCAGGAACACTCCACAATTTTAATTTTTTTTTTGTTAAAATTATATGCTAAATTATTAGATTTTCTCCACCCCTTCTTAAATGGAGGAAAATCTTTTTTATTGGAAAATGAAAAATCGCAATCACCAAGTCGGGGATGATGTATACTTTTTTACCTCGGATTACGATCGGCAGATGAACCAATTTAGGTTAGCCGTGCGAGAGGTGTCACTACTTGACTACATACATATGCATATGGTGAAAGGAGTTAATGAATGGGCATCAACCAGCAGTGGGGCTTCGAAATTCATGCACCCGAACAGCAGATGTGGATTAGAATCTAGAACCATGGTGGTCGTGGCGCTTAGAAACTTGTTCTTTCAGACCGCCTCTCAAAGATGAAATTGATCAATTAAAGCGAAGGCGCGGACCGGTACCTACGCCGTTCCAACCGCCTAGGCGTTGCGGCCACGAAATTAGAGCTCTAGAAGCTTAGACGCGGACTTTAACTTAGGTCCTTCCAACTGCAAAAACCGTATACGTACCCATACGGGTTTGAAACTCGTCTCTTCTCTAAGCCAGCTTAATGGAAAATCAGCGGCACAAAAGTGGGAATGAGGCCTGCTATAATTTTAATTTAATTTAATTTAATTCTTACTATTTATAAAAGCTAAATTATAAGTCGTATTTGTTTCTAAGAGATAAGTAAATAGCTTCAAAAAGGTCTTTCACTTCAAACAAGACGTGAAAAACCCGACTAGCGGCAGCACAGGACTGAGCGCTAGCGCAGTGCTCAAATCGCCTCCCGATGAAATATTTGACGGCGGTACTCGGCGGATCGGTACCTGGACGGTAGTAGGTTTGGTTCTGGTGCTATCGGATGAGCAAGATTTGCTTGCTCAGAGAATTCTTCTTCCTTTGCTTCTCCTCTGTCCTTGCTGCTTCTTCTTTTTCCAATATCTGTTGTGACGCCAGTTGGACTTATAGATTCTGTTTTAGAGGAACAAGAGATAACTGTTACTCATATTAACAAAGTCCTCTAATTTTTCGAAAGGATAACTGTCAACTGTATGAAGAACGCCGAAGCGCCAATGCACTTACAGTTTGCTTTATGACAGAAAATAATTTCAACAAAAGCGGATGCATATATCGGAACCTAAATAGAAAAGACGGCCGCTGTGGTGTAGTGGTAAGCAGTGCGCGCTTCCACTCCGCAACACCTGGGTTCAAACCCTGGTCAAAGCAACATCGCAAAAAAATATAGAAAAAAGGTTTTTTCTTAACAGCGGTCGTCCCTCGGCAGGCAATGGCAAAACTCCGAGTGTATTTCTGCCATGAAAAACAGTTCTAATTAAAATACAATCGCCGTTCGGAGTCGGCGTAAAACTGTAGGTCCCTCCGCTTTGTGTGATAACACCAAGGCGCACGCCACAAATCGGCGGAGAAGCTCGGCCAAACACTAACATATGTGTCAGCGTCAATCTATTGTTATTATTAAATAGAAAAGACCAGATAAGCAATTTTCCTTGATTTATTTTTCTTTGTTATTTTCTTCTTCTTTTTCGTTTTTTCTTAATCTACTCATTGTTTGTGCGCTCACAGCAGACAGCTCAAGCTGTCAAGTTCTATATGCAACCGAGGCTAATTTAAATGAAAAAATTATATTACTGCAATAGTTGCTTGCCTCGTTATTTATCGCCTCTCATTTTTTTAACCTCGATCTTGCTGTGTGAGATGAAGAAGGATGGCCCGGCAGTTTTTTTTTAACTAACCTTAAACTATAATGTGCTTATTTTATGCCTGTACTTAAACCACACTCATGAACAAGTCAACATGTGTTTGTTGAAAAATCTTCTGTGGCTTAGAGCCAAATTTAGTGGCTTTTATGACCATTTTATCACACCCACTACTCATCATTTCAACACTCCCGCAGATAAACAGGCGGCGACACAAAACCACAAAGTCGTCTCTAATCGCTGTTATTAACTGATTGCATTTCACAAAACCCAAATACCCGCAGGAGTGAATAAAAAAATAAAATAAGAGGAAACTGAACTGAACGGCAAAGAGGCGCAGTAATTGCTTTAAGCCATTTGCAGCAGAGGAGTAAATTTACATGCTTACGCAGGAAAAAAATGCGTCTGCCACTGGCATTTATATACATATTTACATGTGTATGCATAGTGCAGTCGCATGTTATCTATCTCTTAAATTTCTTCGTCGCATACACTTGTGAGTGCGCTGCGGCCATTACGGTTTCAACGTACATATGTACAATGCATACGTGCGCCATGAAACCGCAAGCAAACAAATTTCCTCGCCAGCAAACAGCGCATCAGTGTGTATATACATATATATATGTATATTGTATATGAAGGCACACATGTTTGACACACATATCCTGAATATTAATATCCTTGTTAGCATGCATTTAGCATTGCAAACACACACACTCACACGGCCATGCAAGCCAGCTCGAAGCGTAAGCATAACTCATTTTTGCAATCTTCGCAAATTTGCCAAGGACCACAGCATACATAGAAGTATGCATACATACATTCACTTACATACTTACATAGTCATACATATGTTTGTATGCCAGGAAGCCTGCTTTGGCACATAGCTTTAACGTTGTAGTAGTCGGCACATATATCACAGCAACACTGTTGCAGCTAACTGCTAAAGCAGCCACAGCCCCTCTGAAGTCGACCTTGTACTTCAGCCACTCGCAGCCTCCGCTGTTGGCCGTCGTTTATGGCTTAGGTCGTATTTCTTCTTGTTTTCTGTACTCGTACCTCTTTCATTCGCAACTGCATCCATTTTTGTGAATTTTATTTGCGCTTGACTGCACCAGAAAGTAGTGTGGAAGCATGGTTTTAGGCGCAAAGGCATGCTTCTCGTTTTTCCTTTATAAGTTTTCGTTTTTTCTGTTTAAATTTAAAACGCTTTTAGTTTTTGCAATCGCAATGAAACACTATTAAATACTGCTTAATTCTCATTCAGTTTTGAATTAACTGCAACTACGTTTAGCGAATGTTGGACGTCGCGGCCAAGTGGCTAGGGCTGCGGGGTAATACCCAGTATGACCAAGGTTCAATCCCTAGTGCGCGCAACGTCCAAAATTATAAAATTTTTTTTAATCATCTGAAAACTCTGTACCAAGGATATTTGGTATTTGTATCCCCTTTTTTTGACTAAAAAATTCCAACTCATTGTAGCAACACTACGCCAGAGAACAGCAAAGCAGCGAAAAAAGTTCTTACATGTTCATACATACATCGGCGTAGCCAGAATGAAATTTAGTTGGGGGGGGGGGGGGCATTCATGTTTATTTACACCTTCACAGCTCTGCCAGTGCGACAATTATCCGAATAAACTGTGGAAACTGTTACAACGAATGCAATTTATTCACTTTAAATTCCCTGCGAACTCCTCCACTCCAAAGGCATAATGTCTTTGTTTGTTCACCTTCGTCGCCGTCACTTTATTGTTATTGCACAATATTAACGACAGCGAATTATTTTTTTCATTTTCTTTACACAAATTTTTTGTTTTCATGCCACACAGTCGAGTTTCTTAATTGGCATTGACTGTGTGCAGTTGTTGCTGATTTCATCTTCTTATCACGAGATTAATTCATTTTCGCCTGCATTCCGTGTCCTTAAATATTATGACTCCATCATAACATTCTTGTTTTAATATCCATATTCTTTATTAATTTTTCTCTTCTTCTCGTTATTCTTGCATTGCAGCGTTCAGCTTCAAATGAAAGCCAGTTGGTCCTGGACTCGGTCAGTGTCTCCACTACAGGCAAATATAGTTGTGAAGTGTCGGCGGATGCGCCATCCTTTCACACTGAGATCTCGGCCGGTGAACTGGAAGTGGTTGGTAAGTGTCCGTAAATATACTCGTACGGCCATTTCAGTAAAGAATAAAAAATTATGCATGGAAATTATGAAATTATTATTCGGGGCATTGCCAAAGATGAAAAGGTGGAAGTGAATCAGAAAAGTACGCTTTTATTGTACATAATTACATCAAATGCAACTTGAATATATCTTTAACAATTCGTTTATGGTACTATAGAGCAAGAAGAGAATGGTACATCTCAGAATAAAAATAAAATTTCAGAAATTTGGCGGAGTCAACACACTAATTAAATATTATGGGGTATACATTAGGGCGGGTCAATTTAAATGGTAGATTTTTTTTTTCGCCTATGCGCGTATAGCACAGCAAGATTCTACATGTAATTCTAAGCAAATTTTCCGGAGAAACCATGGGTCTAAAATTAATTTGAAGCTTGTCAAATTGCGAAATTAGGTTTCTTAGCTTTTTCGCTAGTGTCGTAAAAAAGTGTTTAAATTTTGTATAAAAACGTGCTGAAGTGCTTTTTTTTTGGTATGAGAAATCCATTTATGCACTTATATTTTTCTTAAAACTTCCACCATAGGGCGCAACAGTGAAAATTTTCATATTTTCTTCGAAAACTAACTCTAAAATAATTTTATACCTATGGATTCTTCGGCTAATTTGGTTAGAATTACACTTTCAAAAAGAATGGTTAACAGAGACAGGTCTTTTTCAAAATTTCAGGTAACAAACATACATTTTCAATTTTTTATCAAATGTTCGTAGAAGTCAATAACTCGCTTTATCAAAAACGAAAAATAATAAAATTTAAAATAACAACTTTTGAGAGTGGCTATACAGATTTCGTGCCTCCATAGGTTTACGCTCCCTCTGCAGTTGACGTCGCAGTTCACTAGAACAAAACATTTATTCATTTTTATTATGGAAGCATAAGCAAATTTAGGGCAGTCACCCTAGAAGTGGTTTATAGCTGTGAGGTCTCGAATAGTCTGCTCTGGATGAAACTTATACCAAAATGCTCAGAATATAACCCTTAACAGCATATCAGAAAGTAAGAGATGCACCCAGAAAAAAGTCAACTAAAAATATTTCTCTCAACACATGATTTGGTAACTATAACCAAATAATGTAACCCAATCATGTGTTGAGAAAAATATATTCAGCTGACTTTTCTGGGTGTAAAGGTATTAGAAATCTTATCAAGAAAATAAAAATATCAGACTCTAGAGCAGAAAATCCTCTACAACAAATTGTTTGTATTAGATAAAATAAAATATCATGAAAACATTTTTTTTTTTTTTCATTTCCGAGATTTTCGCATTGTAGATGACAATTAAAACAATTTTTTGAGTCTTAAAAAAAAATCTTCACGAATTAATTGCAAATAAAGGGTTTGTTCAAGAACATCACTTCTCGCTAATGTTTCTCCCATTAAATTTCTGCCAGTTTCTTCTGAAAACACTCCTACAAACAGGCAGGCTGTAGGTACACCAACACCAACGTTCAAGAAAAATGTCAAAGAGTTAACCCATTTTAGCACATTTTGGCACTTCCTGTAAACATCTTCATAAATAAACAATTCGAAATCAATAAAGACTGGCCCTAAAGTTTAATTGCTTCTTTTAAATGAGAATATTCAAAATCCCCATTCAGCAGGAAGCACCTGTTTACATATATGTATGTAGCGTTATGTTTCCCATTCAATTACTAAAAGCCTTCAACTTCAATTAAAACTATATGTTTACCACATAACTACAGATACATGTATGTGTATACACTAGGGTGGTCTAAAAATGCATGTAAAAAAAAATGTGAAGTCAGAATTTTTATCCTCTCACCTAGGATTCTTCTATACCGAAAAGAATATGCCATTTTTTTATTTTGAAATCAAAAAAATATTTAGAGGTCGCAAAGTATTCCATGTATTTTAATATGGGGAAAAAAACTTCTCGTAGAAACTCTGTTTCTCTTCAGGAGATTCCCAGTTATAATACCCATATATTTTTATAACCATTTTTTTACAGCGACTATATTTTATAGGTCCGCCAAAACCCCTAGAAAATTCGATGGGGGGATAAATAAAAAATGTTGTATTAAAATATGCTGAAATAAACAATTGGATATTGTTACTGGAAGTCTTCTAAAGAGAATCAGAGTTTTCCGATCGAAAAATATTGATTTTCAAGAATTCCATACCATTTTTAAGAAAAGTTTTTTTTTGCATATAAAATACATGGAAAATTTGAGCGCTTTGAGCGACCTCTAAATATTTTTTGATTTAAAAAAAAACAGGGATATATCTACTCTTTTTCGATATAGAACAATCCTAAATTCCGGCTTTGCTTATTTTTGACCACCCTTATACACACATGTGATCACAAACACCTGATACAAAAGTTTTAACATATGTAGATGCGCGTAGATAAAGTCATGTGAAATATAATACGATAAGTGAATTCAAAAAACGTACTTATCATCGTAAAATCTTAAGCTTAAAATAACGGCTAAAATGATTTAAGTTGTGGGGGGGGGCTAATTATATATGTACTTTTTATCAGTTTAATAACATTTCGGTGTAGTTAGAACGACGAATCTTAAGCATACGATTTTACAACGGTTAACACGTCTTGTGAATCCCCTAGATATTTTGACAAGTTCTTATTTTTTGTTTAGTTTAGTTTTAATTATTTTTTTTATAAAAGTGAAAGTCCAAATTTCAAACTTTGCAGAAAAATTTAAAAAAAATTTACAACGAACTTTTTATCAAAAAGTTGTAGGAAAACTGTAAAAAAGCAGTTTTATAGCCCATTAAATTCAAGATTGATAAACCTTCAAGTGGATAAGAATTCGCGTGGATTTTTGATATTTTTTTTGTAATGACGTTATTTTTTTTTTCATATAAAAAATTTTGTCGAAGGCACTTACCAAAAATTAACAAGAATTCTTCCTGCATCTTATTAAGAATTTAGTGCTGTATAAAACTGCATAAGTACTTAGAATTTTTCTGAAAATTACTAATAAAAAGTTTGTTGCTGTAAAATTTTGTTGAAGTCTTCAAATTTTTTCTAAAAAGTTTGAATTTGGATTTCTATGGTTTTTTTAGATGAGCTTTATCTTTATTTAAAACTAATAAACAAAAGAGAAAAGTAAAACCTGGCCAGAATATCGTGTGCCTATTATTTTTCACATGACTATATCTACTTACGTACAAACGTATATGTAGCCAATGTCTATCTACATGACAGCTATGAATTTGTGTCAAAAAATCGAAAAGCATAGCTGAAATGCCAAGTTTAGCCGTATCCAATGAACTACGCGCATATTTTGCTAATGTTTTTCGGCAACGTGCTGTGCTGTGCATCGAGACTTTTATTGCACACTGCAAGCACACTCAGAAAAGGTTATAAATAAACAACGCCAACGCCTGCACATGCACACACACGTGCATGCTCATAGCTCATACATATGTACATATCTATCTACAAACATAGACTTGAGCATGTCTGCTAAACTCAGGAACGATCGACGCCAACTGTCGCTCCATCATTTTGTCATGGCAACATCCGTTTCAAATTGACCATTTGAGACGGTAAAAGCCAAAAAAGGTATAACCAAAAAAACAAAATTATGGGATGTGAAAAAATGTGAAAAGTTTTCTAAGAAAAAGTTGAAGGAGGGACCATAGAAACACAAATAAAAAGAAGTGTGTACAGCTTAAAATAGAGAAATTGCATGAAAATAAACTCCAGACACTTGACAGCATGCCTTGACACAGGAGTGAGGGAGGGCAGACGACGGGTGTGGGGCGGTCAGCGGCGCCAGACAAGCATTGATGCATACTTGGCGCCAGCATCTGCAAATATACATACATACATACATACATACATGTACCTATGTTTGTAAATATGTCTAGCTATCTGCCTGCCTTTACGACAGACGTGCGGCGGGCGACCTGTGCGCATAACGAGCAACGGTAAATAAAGAAACATAAAAACCGAAATAACTGACGAAAAAACTATGAATGGTTCGATGAGCAGGCAAAAAGTTCTGTCATAAAGGTAAATGCACATCAAGCGAAATTGAGAAATTGTTGAAGAAGACCGGTAATTTAGAGGGGGTGGTAGTGCCCGAGAAAAATAGCAGTATGAGTTGAATGTGTAAGAGAAGCATAGTTAAAAACAGCAGTTAAACTTTTATGGCGAGAGTGTAGGTGGAATTTAAACCAAAGTTAATTGTGTTGGGATGCAGTAGCATGGAGATTTGCTGGAATGTTTGTGCGGTATTCGCTAAATATATGTATGTATGTATAGCCGTCATCGATTCGCCAACAGTTAGTGAGTGGCGAAACGAACGAACTCGATGAGGTACAACCAAACTCGCTATCGTCTATCCGTGCTAGCTAAGTTTGTTGTTGCTTTCACATGCAAAATTCTGCTTTAAGCGACCGGAACTCAAACATAGCGAGCGAGAAGTGGCGAATCGATGACGGCTTATGTATGTAGATTAACCTTAGCCACTAGCTAGTGGATATCCTATTGATGCGAAAAAAATTCTATAGCGTACAGCATGCATTTCGATCGAGAGATTTTCAAGCGGTTAAGGAGTGTTTGATGGTCTGCTACAAAGTGGATGAAATAGATGGAGCCCAAAAGATTGATTTAAGACTAGGCTGCGATTAGACGAGGGGGCGTGGCACATCCCATACATCCTCATGGAGGAGGGCTGCCACCTGTTTAAAAAAAATAAAATTCAACTTTAATTAAGCGAAATATTTATTTGAAAAGTATATTAAAAAACGGATGTCAATAGGCTTAAAGGAGTTGTAGTTTGAAAATATTTGGAAAAAGGTTTGCCACCCGTTTGAAAAGTCTATTTTAAATTAATTATTCCCAAGCTATCGGAAAAATTAAGTATGGGTGTCAAATGAAAGACTGTTGAGAAACTTTCAGATTGAACCTATAGAATATTACCGAGGAGTTTTAAAAGGGTTGCCACCCATTCAAAAATTAGATTCAAGTAATTTAAATGAATTACTACAATATGGGTATCAATCTAAATGTTTTTTGAAAATGGTTCTAAATGGCTCTAAACTACGTTTAGGAGGGTTGCCACCTGTTTGAAAAACCAAATGCTACTTGACTTAAGGGAATTTAGTATCTACATATGTATCACAATGTGGGTGTCAGATGAAACGAGTTTCATAAGACTTTAGTTCGAAAATATATTGAAGAAGGTTGCCAGCCGTTTTAAAAATTGAAAATCTACTAATTATACTCAAGTTAAAGTGTCAAACGTAAGAGTGTTTAGAAATGTTCGGCTTGAACGTGTAGAATTTAGTGAGTTTAGAGTGTTTCAAAGTTTGATTTACATGATATATTCGTATAAAATCTACGAAGAAAAATTTCCCTTGAAAAGCATTTTGAATATCTTAAAAAAAAATATCAAAAGTAATACTTTCGGAAGTCACTGTAAGTATAGTGCGAGTGTAGGTTTACGGTAATGTGTATTACTTTAACGTGCTCAAATAAGCTTGCGCCTCTGCTTAGAGAAACAGCTGCCAAAAATTGGTCACAAAGTGCAAGATTGCACAAACAGTTAACTGAATAACTGCATATAACCGTGTTTATTGCAGCTCGGCGCCCAATGCTTTTATTACTTTGGCTCTACTCGCTTTCGCCATTCATTTCATTTTAAAAGCTATTATTAAATGCTGGCATCTGTACTGAGAAAAGCAGTTGAACCAAGTAAAGGGCACGGAATTAAAATCAAGAGTCTTTTAGTAGGTTAACAACTGTTACTTTTTTATTTTAATTATTTTGAAACACAAAACACCAATAAATATCGTATAATTAACCCCATTTTCGGTTTAGAAGCGGTTTCAAGAAACTTTCTGTCGAAAAAAAAAACCTTTAGTCTCTCCGCATAACTGCAAGGCATATTTTACAGCGCTCAGCATACTTTTTCGCATTATTTGTTGTATAATTTGCTTTGTCGTTCCGTAAAAACTAGGCGTTCACGGCCATTCGCGCTGTCATCGGCGCTCACGACAAACAGGTAAAGTTTTTAAACAAATTTCCCTCCTTCGCTAAATTAGGTCACGACATTCGCCGCAAGCGTCCATAAGCAAATCCATAGGAAACAAAAAGAAAACTCATTAGCTTATTCAAAACTCACGAAATTGTTCGCATTGAAATGCAGCAACGAAATTGCGATCAAAGTAATAAAATATTTATGCATTGGCCATGGCAGTAAGATATAACCACAAAGAAGCGGAAAACGATAAAAAGAAGGAATTAAAAATATGTTAAAATATTTATGAGAATACAAGATACTCAATGCTAAGAAAAATGCAGGTGGATTTAGTAGTTGAACCATCGACCAATTATTTGGAGGAATAGACATTTTTTATTAAAAAAGCAAGCTTTCGAATTGCAAATTTATATAAAAACAAGTAAGAAAGTCTAAGTTCGGGCGGAGCCGAACATTAAATACCCGGCGCAAGTATTAAATATATGTTTCTTCACCTTTCCGAAACCTACCGCTAGATGGTAAGCCGGGGTGTATCAATTTTGAGTAAATTGGCGTCCTTCAATTTGGAAATATTGAAGTTTCAAGCATTTCTGAAATTTACCGTTATATGAAAAGCGGCCGTAATTTTAGTCCGATTTCAATAATTTTCAACGCTTTGCTTTCATGTGGCAAGCCCAATAACCACACCGAGTTTGGTACAAATTGGTAGAACGGTTACCGATATACATACATATATGTGATCATAAGTGGGCGGTGCCTCGCCCATTTTCCAAAATTGTACCATAAAAGTATTTCTTGGTAAAGAATTTTTGCAAGCATCAATTTTGAATAAATTAGCTTCAATATTTACTGATTTATCGAAGATTTTATATTTCTCTAAATTACCGTTATATGGGATGTGAGCGTGGGTATTGTCCGAATTAAAAGATTTTTGGCCATTTGGTATGGTGTACCAGGGCCAACAACTGTGCCAAGTTTGGAAGAAATTGGTGCAGCGGTTACGAAGATATACACATGTAACCATAAGTGGGCGTGGCTACGCCCATTTTCCAAAAATTTATAATATTCTTATTTTTTGTCTAAAAATTGTTGTAAATATCAATTTTGAGTGAATAATCTTCAGTAGTTACTAAAATATCGCAGTTTCCGTATTTCTGGAAATTACCGTTATATGGGAAGTAGGCGTGGTCACAGTCCGATTTCGCCCATTTTCAATACCAACCTACCTTGGATTAAGGGAAACTGACATATCAAATTTCGTTGAGATATCTCAATTTTTGCTCGAGTTATCGTGTACACGGACGGACGGACAGACGGACAGACGGACGGACAGACAGACATGGCTTAATCGATTTCTTTTTTTCATCCTAATCATTTATGTATACATTTGTCTATATCTATCTCGATTCGTTTTGGCTGTTACAAACAACCGTTATGTGAACAAAATTAATATACCCTTGTGCACAAGTGCGCTCGGGTATAAAAAAATCACATTTGAAATATTTTCACAAAATCAGTTAGAGCAACAAAAGTCCAACTGAAGTAAAATAATTCATACGCTTAACTCCCTCATAAAGTATGTAGTAGATAAGCGCACTCCAAAGGGGAAAATATTAAATTCACATTTCTCATTTCAACTATTCAACTTTGCAAATGCTTTACACTGGTACAACTTACGATACGCCACTCTCCAGAAACTTTTCGAGAGCCACTTTTATCCTCCTCATTTAATTGTTTTTTTAATGAAAGTTGTGGACTTTTGCGGCACCGGTGCAAAATAAAAAAAAAAAGCAAAGCACAAAGCACTCAGATTACCAGTTGCTAGCACAAAAGCTGGCTCCTCCTCCTCCTCAGCAGCTTGCAGTTAACAGCTCTCGAACACAATTAAACGACTTTTATTGTGTCCGCAGAGAGCAGGGGACACAGCGACGGAGTCGAACGGAGAAGGGAAGATTTCGGTTGTAAAAAATTGAAGGTGTCGAAAAGTTTATTAAAAACTACAAGCAAAAATGATAGCACTTGTCCGTAAAGGGTGCTAGCAAAAAGTGGCACTGGGCACTCAACCAACTAAAAGTAAGCAACAAACAGGCAACGAGGCAGACGCCTGCGCTGCTGCAGTCGCTCATTTATTGTCAGTCGTTTTATTTTTCTGTTTTTTTTTTTTTTTTTGGTAAAAAAGGGGAGGGTGGGGGTGGGGCGGTTGCTCTATGCAAATTGTCACCTGGCCGCCTTTTAGGTGCAAATTTTACTAATGATTTCGTTGTGCATTTCGCTTTTAAACTTTTTCGTATTCAAAGTTTTGTTCAGTTAATGCACTTTCTCCAATGCGGTGTGGGTGCTCGCTCATCTCTGCTCTACTGGGGGGTTTCCTCGCTCTTTTTCGCACATTCTCCTTTGTGGCGCATTTGCGCATCAACGCTTGGTAAGCGCTAATGATTTCTCAGTCGGTTTCATATTTCGGAGCAAAAAGTTTTTAATAATGCTGCATTATCGCTACATATTTTTAGGCATTAAAAAGTTTCACCTTTGACCTGCAAAATGTTGGTGCATTTCGCTTTCGTTGAAGGTAATGATTTCATCGGCCCAACTGGCACTTAATTAACCGATGACACAGAGATAACTGCACACCTATCTGCACTTTCAAATTTATGAGCTAATGGTAACTAAAAGGACCTATTAATAAGGATATGTACATACATATTCAAAAACATACATATGTATATGTACAAGCAGGTTAAATAATGCAATTCCCTGGTTGTAAAGTTTTGTGGAACTTCTTTTTTTATAATTGAATTACACGAAAGCGGTCAATTATTTCAACTTAATCTCCATTAATGAGGTCATGTCAAAGGATGATTCCATTAAAGTCCGAAAAGAGTGTATTACTGTTAGATTATAACTAACACATACCGTATTATCCTAATGTGTTCCGGTGACGAATTTCCGCTTTGCAGGCTAAATACTATGATTTTTTCATACACTGAGAGAGAAAACGCGTTGCAATATTAAGAAAAATGTTATGAATTCACTGATGGAAATGACGCATAGTAAAAATGAATATTTTTTATTTGATTATCGTTTTAAAAAAATTTTTTGATTTCCAAAGGGTCAGGGTTTATGTCCTATTGCAGGTAGCATGGATATATATATTTTTTTTCTGTGCATCTTAATTTTGAAAAAACATCCGTGAAGTGCAAAACGCTTCATATTAATATGGGCTTATTTGAATTGCATATTTCCATACTAAATACTAAAATTTTTATACTAAAATTTAGAACGAATTGGGTTGGTGGTCTTTCATATGCGTATTTTTTTTAATTTAGCACGTTTTTTATTATATATATTTTTTTCTCAGTGTAAGAAATGGCCATTGAATGTTCATTAGCAGTAACTAAATCTTAGCCCACAACTAACACGTTACTATTGTTTCAGAAGTACCGGGAAAAGATCCCATTATCACAGGCATAAGACCGAGATATCGCGTTGGTGACATTGTACGAGGCAACTGTACGTCGCGACATTCCAAGCCAGCAGCAAATCTGACATGGACAATAAATGGGCGAGAGGTAAATATAATCAAAAACAGACAATTTCAACACAAATAAGAAGTTGGTCGAATATTTACAGAAAAAGGCAATTCATTTATAGAGGGATAAGGGAAAACTGTTCTAAAATACACAATTAATTTATTTTTCCTTGAATAACTAAATAGCAATCTGTGGCCTTTTCTACGAGGTTTATCAGCCAATTCACTAAAGAAAAGTTAATTATGCTGAAGACATCTTTTTTAAAACTTTATGCTTTAATATTTATCCTTGGAAATTTCCACTAGCTAACTTTGGGAAAAATATGGGTTGAGGACCACTAAGTGCATGTGTTTTTGTTTATTTAACCATTTTCTATTATTAACAATTTTTTACGGGACCCCTGGAAACATCAAAAAATGCAATTGGGGGTCCATAAAAAATCGCTAGTAATAACAAGTAAGAAAGTCTAAGTTCTGGCGGAGCCGAACATTAAATACCCGGCGCACGTATTAAATATATGTTTTCCACCTTTACGAAACCTACCGCTATATGGTAAGCCGGGGTGTATCAATTTTGAGTAAATTAGCGTCCTTAAATTTCGAAATATTGAAGTTTCGAGCATTTCTGAAATTTACCGTTATATGAACAGGGGCCGAAATTTTAGTCCGATTTCAATAATTTTCAACGTTTTGCTTCTATGTGGCAAGCACAATAACCACACCGAGTTTGGTACAAATTGGTAGAACGGTTAACGAGATACATATATGTGATCATAAGTGGGCGGTGCCACGCCCATTTTCCAAAATTCTATCATAAACGTATTTCCTGGCAAAGAATTGTTGCAACCATCATTTTGAATAAATTAGCTTTAATATTTACTGATTTATCGAGGATTTCGTATTTCTCGAAATTACCGTTATATGGGATGTGGGCGTGGTTATCGTCCGATTTTAAAACTTTTCGGCCATTTGGTATGCTGTACCAGGGCCAACAACTGTGCCAAGTTTGGAATAAATTGATGCAGCGGTTACCAAGATATACACATGTAACCATAAGTGGGCGTGGCTACGCCCATTTTCAAAAGAATGTTAATATTCTTATTTTTCGTCTAAAATTTATTATAAATATCAATTTTGAGTGATTTATCTTAAGTAGTTACTAAAATATCGCAGTTTTTGTATTTCTGAAAATTACCGTTATATGGGAGGTAGGCGTGGTTATTGTCCGATTTTGCCCATTTTCAATACCATCCGTCCTACGCCTGAAAGAAGTACACGTACCAAGTTTCGTTAAGATATCTTAATTTTTACTCGAGTTATCGTGTGCACAGACGGACGGACAGACGGACGGACGGACGGACGGACAGACAGTAACCGCTTAATCGATTTCTCTTTTCATTCTGATCATTTATGTATACATTTGTCTATATCTATCTCGATTCGTTTTGCCTGTTACAAACAACCGTTATGTGAACAAAGTTATAATACGCTTGTGCACAAGTGCGCTCTGGTATAAAAATGGTAAAATAAGCAATGGGATGTTATGTATTATCACCTGAAGGGAAACAAATCTTTCCGAACAAGAAATATTGGTTTTTAAGAATTCTTTAACATTTCTACGAAAAGTTTATTTTTCATATAAAATACATGGAAAGCTTAGAGCGCCTTGAGGGATGTAATTTTTTTCGGTGTACAATAATCATAGGGGTGAGAGCATTAAAATAACGCCTTTACTTTTTCACATGCATTTTTGGACCACCATAATGAACATACATTCATATATGTATATGTATGCATGTATAGAAAACGTCCGATATCCCAAGATACAATTTTCCACCTCTACCCGATAAACTTGTACGATTAAGGGCAGTGTCACACGATTGGTACATTTGTACAGATTTGTAAATTTTTTATATTGCGCTTTTGGTACACATAAAAAAAAATTGGGACGAGAACTTTTTTGTAGTCACAATACACCGAATTTCTATTAAAACTTTTAACAAATTGTTTTTCGTGATTGGGATAAAGAAAAATATTTGTGCATCCACGCGATTGGGATACTATTTGCACCAATCGTGTGACACTGGCTTAATAGACGTGTTCAAAAAAAGGAAAGAAGTCATCTAAGCACAGAAAGTAATAATTAACATAGAAAGCTTTCCAAAATAATGTCATAGACATTTTTCCGCTTGACCAATAAATTCGTTCGCTCAATTAAATTCTCTACGCCTTTCCGCTTGTGAGGCCAGTTTGTTTAATCTACGTACGTACTCGTAGATATAAAACTTTTAATTACATACAGGAAGTTAACGCCCAAAATATGCTAAATTTCCTAAAAATTTAATTCATATGCACATATGTAATTAATGCATGCGGTTGTGCCAAGCTAAGTGCTGAGCCAATCAACGTTTAAGTATTAAATTTAACGGTTTGTTAAATACTAACATATACATACATACATACATATGTAAATATTGTAAACAGCAATGTGCGGCGAACTATGGATAAATTTTCGAAAAATATAAGTTTGATACGAACACACATGTGAATACATACATAAGTGCACATTTAAATATGTTGTGTCTGTAAATAGCAGAAAGTGGTGATTTGCGGCAAGAGAAGGGCAACATTTTATGCGAATTTTATAGGTATTCGTTCTAAATATTCGTCTGCAAATGATGTTTTCATACATATGTATATATGTAACTGCATATAAACTAGGGTGGTCCAAAAATGCATGTGAAAAAGTAAAGTCGGAATTTTTATGCTCTCAACCCCCTACGATCGTTCTTTACCGAAAAAAAGTATACCCTTATTTCCATCTATTTTATATGGGAAAAAATACAACTTTTCGTAGAAATGGTATAGAATAGTTAAAAATCAGTATGTTTTTAACAAAAAAAAACTCTGTTTATCTGCAGCAGATTCCCAGTAATAATACCCAATTGTTTACATAACCATTTTTTCATCGCAAGTTTAATTTATAGGACCGCAAAAAACCCACAAAAACCTCGAAAAATGCAATGGGGCGACCAATAAAAAATCGTTAGTATTATAAAATGGTTAAATAAACCATTGGGATTTATCACTGAAAATCTCCTAAAGAGAACCCGAGCTTTGCGATCGAAAAATATTGATTTTCACGAATTCTATACCATTTCTACGAAAAATTTTATTTTTCCCATATAAAAATACATGGAAAACTTTGAGCGCTTGGAGCGACCTCTAAATATTTTTTGACTTCAAAATAAAAAATAGGGGTATACTTTTTTCGATATAGAACAATCCTAGGGGGTGAGAGCATTACACTTCCGACTTTACTGTTTTTGGACCACCCTAATGTACACTGGCGCCAAAAAATAATATTTAATATTTTTTTTTATAAAAGCCTAGGGAGTTATACAACAAACAACAACAAATCTGCTTTTCTAACTTTGAACAAAAATTAAAAAAATTCGATAAATTTTCAGCAATTTTTTTAATTTTTTATTTAGAATTTATAGAAGAATTTTTGGTATGAAGTTTTGTAGCCAATTTAATTTTAGTATAATAAAGAGGGAGTTTCGAGTGGCTGGAAAATACCGTTTGTTTTTTTTTACAATTTTTTTTTTTTGTTGACGATGCTAAGCATTGTCTTCCACATAAACAAATTTTCGAGAACACTTTGTATGAGAAAAAATGCGTGACACTGTCAGCAAAAAAATTCCCAAAAACCAACGGCATTTTTTAGCCAATTGAAACTTGCACTTTAATGGGCTACAAAACTGCATACCAAAATTGTTTGTAAAAATTCTAAATAAAATGTTTGTAAATTTGGTGAACATTTGTCGAATTTTTATAATTTTTGTTAAAAAATTTAAAAGCGCATTTATATGGCGTTTGTTGTATAACTCCCTAGGCTTAAAAAAAATATATATATTAAACATAAAATAAACTAAAGAAATATAGACAAAACTCTCCTAAGTACGACGAGTCTATTATTTCTGCCGCCAGTGTATGTACATACATATGTTGCATTTATTTCTACAAAAACCATGCCTCGTAGCGAGTATCAGCTGCGTGTAGTGACTTCTTTTGGGCTAATTTGCAAAATCTGACTTAACTGCCGAAATTTAAACATATGCAAAATACTGCTAAAACATCCAACTCACACACGCTGACACACACACGCACACGCACACTTGCATAAGAGCCTGCTGCAGCACACAAGCGTGTGCATGATGGCCACACCGCTGACACGCCTTAATGTTCCGGCTGGACATTAAGCATAATTACAGGCACAGGATGTAAGGGCAACAACAAAAACAATGAGCTAACAACCAAAAAAAAACACACTAAAACTGGCCATGGCAAGCATTTTCGGCGCCACTGTTGCATACAACACGTAGAGAGACCGCAACAAACATGTCGCAACAATTTTAACATATGCCACACACACACACACACACACACAGGCACAACCATGTACTGCGAAAAGGGCCCCACTTGCAAAACACATTACCACAAAGCCGAGAGGTTGAAGGCACCAGTTGCCATTTGCCTGACAAACTTTAGCTGCATCCAACTGCAGCGCTCGTCGCACACACACACACACGCACGCCCAAGCCCAAGCTCATTTAAAGACAGCAGCAGCTGGCATGTATTAGCAGCATTATTTTGGGTGCGCAGCTGCCGGCACATTATTTCTGCTTTGGCCATGCCGCATGCCGCATGCCGCATGCCGCATGCCGCTTTCGAACCTGTCGACCCATAAAGCACACCTTCGCCTCGTCGCAAGACCGCAAATTTTCGTTGAAGTGCACATTGCTGCACATTTCTAGGCGTTTGCACTTTGAGTGTGCCGCCAGCCAGACAGCATAGCATGGCTTTGGTTTTTCGCCCATGTCAGATATGCGTGTGTAGTTGTGCATAAAGGGGTTGCATTGCACTAACTTGCCGTAATTGGAGACTGCAGGGAATTAAAAGTATTTCCAACTCAGGGCGAGAGATCTAATGCGAATACTTTCGGCAGATTTGTTTTGTTTATGCTCGTACAAAGACTAAAAGTCAAATGTATAAGTTTGAAAATGATCAAGTTTTTCTCATTATCTATTTGTTTGGCAACTTTGATTGGCGAGTATGCGAATATAATCGCACAAAGTTCATTCAGAGGCGGGAGGAGTTTTGCACGATGTGGAAAATTTGATTTCTATGTGACTTTTATGTGAAATTTTTAACCAAGCCGCATTTGAACGAAATACTTATTATTTAGATTCGGATGTCGCAAGCAATATGACTAAATAAGTGTGGGCATAAGTTGCTTAGTTAAATACAAATTTTGGTTAGGTTCAAGTCTTTCTACTTAAATTTGCGCTAGAGTTATATGTATGTTGTAAGAAAATGATGATTTCAGTTTTAGTAAAGGACGTGATGTGGTAAACGATGGAGGATTACACTACGATCAGAAGCTTCAGTTTATGCGGCGTTTTTGCCAACTCCGTCAACTTGCCGTTCATTTAAAAAAATGCACATGCTACGAGATGTATTAGTTTAATAAGCAATAATAAATATTTTAAAAATAAGTCTTAAGCAGCATTTACATGGGGCAGGTTGTAAGCGATTCAACATCGGCTGAAAAGTTAAAAGCGATTTTGTAGCTTTCTGGTAAATTAAAAATAATTTGCACAGGCGATTTTGTTGAAAGCGATGTTGTATCGCTTAGAAAATCGCCTCCTATAAATGCTGCTTTAGCTATGAAATTTATTTGAGTTAGAATGTCTCACTCGGAATTTTCCGCGAGTGTAATTCCGATCGCTCGATAGTCCGTTTTTGTAACCAATTACATTGTAGCGACGCTAAAATTACACAAATAATATATCCAGACACGCAAACTCAATTGTGGGTCGTAGATTACGAATCCGTATAACGTTTTGCTAGATCAGATAATTTTCCCAAGATATTTTCATTTGAAGTTTGCATTGCGAATGGAAAAAAAATCGAACTTCAACAAGGAAAACGTTGCATACGAGTACGCCTAGGTACGATATGGTGTATGAGTAAAATTATTTCCGGCCCCTATTTCATACAAAAAATTATTGCACATTTTCAGTTGACAATGAAAAACTTGTTTATTATGCTGAATTTCCCCATTAGGCATTGAAATGAAAAAATTCTTGTTCCATTTCAAAAATGCCATATGGAAACGAATATAATGACTATAGTACTTTTCTTAAAGCAATGGCACATGTATTTTTCAATGCCCAACTTTTTCATCGAAATTTTGTAATTTAAAGCCTAGTGGAAATCCGGCATTATGCATCTATTTTCAACGTTAGTACCTTTTTTTTAATTTTTTCCTTGCTAAAGTTTGACCTTTTTTCATAGAAATGAAAATATCTTAGGAAAATTACATGATCAGGGAAAACCGTTTACAGATCCATAGTCTACGACAAAATATTAAGTAAACGTGTTTCGGCGGTTATTTGTGTCATTTCGAAAGTTGAAAGTGTTATAAGTTGGAGTTTTAGGGGAATAGCAGTGAACGGGTTTCGGCGAATCCCAATGAAATTCTCCGCTTGATATTTATTTAGCACACTTTAACGCTCTAACTGGAATTTTTAACGAATTTTTCATACACGGTGACCCCAAATAATATTTCCTGCTTTATATTTTTGTATAACATTTTTAACCTCTAAATGCCATTTCTTCTTCAAAATACTGGTCAAATATACTCAATGAAAACTTTAATCCACTTGAAAAACACTGTTGATGAGGGAATGCAAAATCGAATATCTAGTCATATCGCATTGCTTTAAGTCACTGCGTTCTCACAAATTTGTATATAAATTACCTTTTTGCATTGTTGCAGTTTTTCTTTGGCATCCACAAGCTGATATTGAAAATATGAATCAAATTAGCAGAATTAAATTATTTGAACAGCTACGTGCCTGCGCTTACATTTCCAAACCATTTATGTCGCTTTCCCTTAGGAAAATAAATTTTCGCAACTAGTAGTCATATTTTATATTTGTTTGCCACTAAAAACTTCCGCTAAATCCCATTGGGCGCGCACAGTTGCACAGCTACGCAACGCCCACTCATAAAAAGGCCAAACTTTTCAACGATGGGTTCACTTATAAGCAGTGTTTACCTACAGTTACAAAACTTCTATCCAGCATGCACACAAATACTACAGTTACATAAACATACATACGCCTACTGTATATTGCCAAACTTGAAAGTGCATAGAATTCGTTAGCCATATTTTTCCGTGCGCCGCTTGTGGGAGCATATATTGCACTCAGGCAAAACACGGCGCACTCATGGCTTGCATGTGCTGTGCTACATAGTCGAGGCCAGCCGACGACGCACACACTTGCCTACATACCTGTCTGCCTGCTAATAATTCAGTTTTACTGTCGCCTCGATGTGGTTTGTTTATTTAAAGTTTTTATGTGATTGTTATTCTTAGTGAGAAAAAGAAAAAGAAAAAACAAACCGGAAGCGTAATAAGCCATTCGTGAAAATTGTCGCTCGTTGATATGTTTATTTTATTAAAACACACGAAAATAGTGCAGGACAAACTTTTGTGTGCGCGCCTTTCATTTTGCTGTTTCGATACTTGGGCCAAAATGACACTGTTACTAGCGTACATGCATACATACATATAAAAATGTATGCTTGTGTGCGAGCAATTGCATGCGCCTTTGCCATTACACTTTTAATACAAATTGTCATAAATTTGCAGTTGTGTGCAGAAATTTTCATTTCGCTTTGCTCGAGCAAAATTGTAAAAGTTCTGCAAAATATGGAGACGATTTTCGGCAATAACAATAGCAATCTCATGCTGTATATAATATAACAAACAGTCACACAAACTGACAATTTATTTAAAGCCAGTTGAAAAGTCATTTACGGGAATAATTTAATTTTCGTTGAGTTATGCAATTGGCAAGAAATTTGCCAATGAATAGGAAACAAAGTAAAGAAAAGCTTTCTACTTTATTTTACTTCAATTTGTTGCTGAAATTTTGGAAATCTTAATCACTTATTTATATACATAAGTCTAAACTGTATTAGAGCTTCTATCTTAGCCGGTGTTTTACTCAGTACGAGTCTAAAATTTAAAATGAGTTTAAACAAAATCTAAGTTGAGTGCTCTGACTCAAAATACAAGCCTGCAAGTCGACGTCGATATTTTTAATACATATTTTATTTTTGGTATTTTTTTTTAACTATGCTCCTTTAGCTAAAATTGTTTTTACTATTCCCAGAGTGAACCCCAATTTTATTTCATGATTAGCCTTCCAATTAAATATCAATTTATTGCTTTGACCTCCTCTAAATAAATTGTTTTCATATATGTACATTAGGGTGAGCCAAAAAAAATCGAATTTAACGAATTTACGGTCTTAAAAGGACCATATTTAATGAGAAGAAAATTCACCCATTTGGAAAAAATTGTATTCCTATTTTAAAAGTTATCGGTGGGCATTTGAAATTTTCCATTTTAGTGTGTGTAAATTTTTTTTTTCATTAAAAATATTATAGCTTTTGCACCGCTAGGCAAATTCTTGTGGGGCATCAGATTGTCTAAAAAATAAAACTTTATAACTTAATTTTATTAAAAATTAAAAATGATATTAATGTTTATAAATGCAATAAAAAATTAATAAATGAATTAAAATTCTTTCTTCTGTGACAAATCTAGTTCATAATGTAAGTTCTTTAATTTAGCATGAATATTTCTAGTAATAAAGCCCTAAAGCTGCTTATTTCTGCTTTTTTCGGAGTAAAGCCCATATATTTTTGAGTATAAACAATCAACTACAGAAAATTAAAATGCCCTACAAAAATATGCCTAGACAATTTTTTTATCTCAAACGGTTAAATTTTTAATGAAAAAAAAATTGTACATGTTATTTAAATGGAATAATTCAAATGCCCGGCGAAACCTTTTAAAATTTAAATAAAAATTATTCCAATAATTATTATTTGCCTCACCCTAATATGTGTACGTATGTATCTCCTTCTTCGTTTATGACATCTATAAATTTATGGTAGATAATTGAAAAATTTCTCAGTCGCACAGAAGCAATAATAGCTGATTTGTAGTCGCTTAATATCAATAACGAATGAAACTTTCTTAATCAAAATTTTTTTTTCCAAACTTTCTCATCAAATTATTTCTTTCTCTTTCAGACCAACCCCTCGCACATACGACACCACAAACCACTGCGGGAGGCGCGCGAACTGGAGACAGCCATTTCGGGTATACACTTCGTCGTCACACCGCAACACTTCAGTGGCGGGAAGTTAAAGGTAAGCAAGAGAAATATAGTGAGACAACTCAAACGCCTTGAAGTAGGCACTAAAACTTAAATTGCTCTGCTGAGCAGTGAAATAAGTGCGAAGTGACACACTGCGTGGACAGCATTGCACTCCCATAGAGTTACATGCATGCGTACGTGCGTGTTTGTTTTATGACCATAATCCAACAAATGGCTCGCAAGTCATTCAAGTCACAACAAGCACGACGCCACTAGCAAACAAGCGCCGCTAATTAAGCTATTATGCGATAAACAAAAACTTCAATGGCAGTTGGGCAAAAGGGCATCAGGGCCCATAATTGAAATACTCACAAGCAGATAGTGGCTGCTGAAAATTTGTTGCGCGCCAAACAAGATACGACGATACATAAAAGTGGGATTACACTTCCTGTAAGAAAAAACCGTCTTGCGCGCGGAGTCACGGTCAGTTTTTATGAGGTCACGTTGCTGTTTAACCGCCCAACAACAATAATGGCATACTTTAAGGAGCAACAAAGTACCAAAACTGCTCATTGTAGGAGGAAAAACATACATTTGTATATAAACAGTTAAACATCCTTTGCCCTTAATTGGCCGCACTGAAATTATGTGGTTTTTTGGCCACAAGTACACTGCTGTGTTGCCACATATACATACATTTAGGCGAGTGAGCACACACTCGCCATTTAAGCCACTTGATACTCCCTAATTGTTTCTTTTGCGCTTGCTTGCGTGTCTTGCGGCCGGCGCAAAAAAAATGCAACAAGCGAAAGAGTTTTTATGTACATTTATATGTATGAATGTATGAATATCCCCCCCGCCCCTTCTTTTTCTGCCTGCCTTTTGCTCACATTAAGTGGCCGTCTGCTCATAATGTAGAAATGGTTTATTGCTTGCGTGCGCTATTCATATTCGCTAACCGTCCAAAGAGTCAACCGAACAAAAACGCAAGCACAACAAACGAAAATTGGCACAAAAACATTGCAACAGCTGGGTCGCAAGTGCATTGGTGATGGCCCATTTTCAATGACTGTTTGGAGTCATTAAGTAAAACGCGCGCAGTGTACAAATTTCTTAGGTTTAGGTTAAGGCACCGCTTGTGAGCAAAGGAAGTGAACAAAGTGCTTTAATGACTGATTCTTTAGAGAAGGCTTCAAGTATGTAAACAAAAATAGGCAAACAAAAGTACGAGTATTTATTTTCATTTTTTTTAACACAGCAAATTTGCAACCTCCCTCTTATTTATCAGCTCGTCAGCACTAAAAGCAACATTTCGTTTGATTACTACTTTCAGATACGCTGCACTGCACACATTCATGACGTCTATTGGAAATCTACGGAAAAATCTATCGAGGAGGAGCGCCACAAGCACAACATAAATTCGGTTAATTCTTTCTCAGAAGACTACTTTGATTTGGAGGACGAACATCTGGTTGATCGTTCAGACACCTATATGACACATATAAAGGGTAAGAATGCAACCTAATATAAAGATTTACATAAATCAAGTCATCGGATTTACCTCCAATTAATACAAATATTTTTTTTCTTCATGCTTATATACACTCAATAAAAAACTACTGCTATACCTGTTTTTGTATTAATAGCGATGAATCTGTACGATCTACCAGCAGTTATGTTTCAGGATCTGATTTTTGAGTTAGCTCATTTTAGGTCTAGGTGTGCGATATGTATGTTCATTAGGGTGCCTCACCAAAAAAAGTTGCAGATTTTTTTTTTATTTTAGACGTGCGCCAAAATAATCAATAAAATGTTAAGATTTAAGCTAATACCTTCAAAATCTCATTACTTTGATTACGTTAATACAATTTTTAAACGTTTTATGCAGACCTTTAAGCTTAAACTTATCTATCTAAAGTGATTTTTTGGCAGAAAATATTTTTTAAAACAGCATACTTTTATTTATAACTCCATTTTCAAATCAGTCTAGCTCAAGTAAATCTTAATGTTTTTTCGAAATATTTTTGGGGAAGTCTTAAAATACAACTCATTTTGTAATTCCGATGGGAAAACAGTATCTACCGATTTTTTATTTTTTTTATATGAAGAGTGATGCACCCTAATTTATATACTTTGTAAGAAGATAATGTGCGACTCCGTCAGGAAAAGTATGTATAATAAATCAACGAGATTTTTTAGCAACATCAAACTATAAATTTATTATACCCGTACATACTAAAATTGAATAAAATAAAAAACTTCGCAATAAAAAATTTTCTAATTTTCTAAAAATTTATTTAATATTCCTGAGCTTTGCACAAAGTTCAAAACATTTGTTTACATTATTTTTTTTTTGTTTTTTGTAAATTTTTTTACATAAAATTCGCGAAAAGATATGAAAATAAAACGTGTACCTACACTTTTGTGGTTGCCTAGTTCCTTATACAATACTTGAAATGTTTACGTTTCGGTAAATTTTATTAAAATTTGTATGAACGGAATTAGTGAAATGAACAGAATTTAGTATTTTCTCAAACTTGTGCTAACAGAAACTTTGATAAGCAGTTTAAAATACATGAAGTTAGAGACAGAATTTCAAATGTTTAAGGACAACAGGTGCCTATGAGATTATGGCAACAGTAAATAGGCATGCGCATGTACATATGTATATGTACATTAGGGTAGTCCTTAAAAATCAAATTAACGATTTTTTTCAGTCTCATCCCCCCAATCGGTAATACCATAGTCGAAGATATCACATATAATTTTTGGTCCCGATTGGGGTCGGTTAAGGCGTAACGCAAAGGGGTCAAAGGCCAGATGCCTCTATGGAGACTCAAAAAATTAAAAATATTTTTTTCATTTAATACCAAAATCGATACTACTAAGGCGACTCCAATCGGGACCAAAATTTATAGTTGACATCTTCGGCTATGATAGTATCGATTTTGGGTATTAAATGAAAAAAATAATAATTTCAATTTTTTTAGTCTCCATAGAGGAATCTGACCTTGGCCCCCTGTCCCATACGCCTTAACCGTCTATAATCGGGACCAAAATGTAGGGGTTGAGGCTTAGGAAATCTGATGTAAAAACTAGCTTCCTACATTTAGGGACCATCCTAATGTACATACATGAACACATGCATACATACATATATATGCAGGTCGGTACACACTCGCGCAGAAAATGAATACTCGAAACATCGCCAAGGTGGTAGGATATTTTAATTTTAGATACTACTATTTTTACATGGAATGAAAACGGAATCCCGACATACATATTTAGCATTTGAATGAGATATTAAAAGAAAAAAGAAAAGCAGGTTCGCGAAAATGTTGTATGTTCATAAATCCATACATACTTACAAAACCAGCTCTCGTACTCATAAATAATGAATAGATTTTTCATAGAGGAAGCAGTTAAAATTATTAAGGATACATTTTTCGTATTCAAGAAGTCGGCAGCCATGTGAACAACAGTATTAACATACCTAGAGAAGGGGGTTGGAGCAAGGCAGCCGAATAGCGAGACAAAATATGTAGAACAGGTGCGCTGAAAACAGTTTCAAGCGAATATATGGATATATCTACATACATACCCTTATACATATGTATGTACGTATGAGCACATATGCATTTTTGTATGCATAGGTGCTTCATAACAACCCACAGCACACATCCTGGAGAATCTGCATCGCTGAAATATTTTGAGTGAATAAAATTAATGCACAGTTGCTCACACATCTAAACTATTTAAAGCTTTTTAGTACCTTAGGAATGTGCATAAATATTTAAGCAGATACAAGCGAGCATTTATTTTTTGTACTCGTATAGATATTTATGTATGTATATATGTACATACATAGGTGCATGTGTTTCTATGTGTGGGAGTGTGAGGTGAATATTTTTATTAAATTTCATGCAAATCTTAAAGACTAAAAATAAAATTAATTAATTTTTATATTTTGAAACCAAAAAAGATATAGTGAAAAGAATTGCGTCACGGCTTTTCCAAAAGTGACATTAGAAACTTCTTACTTTGCAAGATATGATTTTCGAATGACTAAGAATTTAAAGTTTTAGTACTAAAAGCGAAAAAACGCGCTAGTTTTGATTTTTTTAGGCGATTTTATGTATTTTAGTCTTAAAAAAATAAAATGTGTTACCTTCATTATTCTTTTTCTTTTTATTAAATGGCGCTTTAATCAACAAAGCACGCCAGTCGTTTCTCTTATTTTCCAATTTAAAACTCGCAGTGAAGCCAAGTTCTTCTCCATCTGGTATTTTCATAGCAGAGAAGGTCTTCCTCTTTCTCTGTTATCAGTATGACTGACGACCCGCGTTGTATACTTTCATAGCTGGATTGTTTCTGTTCATTCGTACTCCAACCCAGTCGCCGTGCTTCAATCCGCCTCACTATGTCTATATCGTTGTAAAACTCATATAGCGCATCGTTCCTTTGTCTGTGGTATTCGCCATCTCCAGCGCGCAAAGGTCTTCCGCAAAATGTTTCCCTCGAAAACTTCAGGAGCCGCTTCATCAGATAAAACTACCAGAATCAGAACATCGCGGTCTTGACTGACAGCCCAGCGGCTATCAGGGCCCCCAGACTCATCAGGTAACTCTAAACTGATTACGGAGTGCCTCGGCAATACTCTTGGTCTGAGCAATCGTGTTTGGGTTCTCTGCGAAGAAAGGAGCATAGACACATTTCATCACCCGAGAGCCCTTTCGTGGCTTAGGAAAAGGGGAGCCAAAGACATGTGGGTGAACATTTAATAACCGAGAGCGAAGTGAAATCTTTAGATTTAGGCTCCGTAGTAAAGTTTTTCTCGGATACCGGGTTAATATACACACTATAAGTCCGTGAAGGGGGCACAGTAGATACTTAGATTTATCCTCCGAACAATATAATAATAATTATCCTTAGCATAGATATAGTTTTATATGTACTTAGTTAGAAATATGATTTCCCGCAAAAAAAAAATAAAAATAAAAATAAAATATTTTTAATAAATGGGAAATTATGTTCTTTTTGCAGATTCTCACAAGTGTCTCTTGTCTCTAGCGTTGTCTGACAAGTCCTTTGCGTGTATATCCCTATTAAATATGAAGCTCTTTTGTTGTATTCTTCACTGAAATACCAATTAAATTGCACTCATCTTTGTTTACTGCATGCAATCACTTTGCACTTGCTCACATACATACATACATACATACATACATACATACATATATACATGCATATCTGCTCAACTTCCACTTGTTATGCTCTCATTGCAGGTGCTGTCTCATCCTTGAATTCCAATGGAGCTGCACAACAGCACAACTGTCACTGCCTGTCATTGATGATGCGTTGGACAACACTGGTGCTGGCGGCTTGGTATGCTCAGCAATACCTCCAACAATTATGCCAGAAATTGTTTGTTTGGCGAAAAACAATGACGCCAACGGCAATAAAAATGCAAACAAAAGGAACGACAATGGAAGGACAGCAAGAAAGGGCTATAGTTGTTGCAGCCAAAGGCCAACGACTAAGTGGACCAAGTGCTGATGAGGCAACTTCAAATGTGACAGTAATGAGAGTAACAGCAGCAACAACAACAATTGCAAAAAATACTATTTGCCACGATTGGACAGTCGCCGCCGAACAAACAAAACATCGGACGCGAAATGAAACGACGAATTCACAATTAATAGAGAGGATAAATATGCAGCGACAACAACAGCAACAGCGGCAATGGCAGCAGCTGCAGCAACGACCAAACAGAGTTAAGTGCGAAAAAAGACGAGCAACACAAAAACAAACACTTCCAGTGCAACTACAAAAGCACTTGGGGCGTAAGGCGGCAACATTGGCAACAATACGACACACAATTAAAGCGAAAGCAACAACAGCAACAGCAAATGCGAAAATGAAGCAAGTAAATGCACCGACGACAACAACATGATTTAATTGCCGTTAGTTTACTGTGAATTCAAAAAATAAAATAAAATAAAAATGAAAATTATACAAAAAAAAAACAAAAAATATTGCAAAAAAGGCAAAGGCATAGTGAAGCGGGAAATGAGGCAAGGCCAGCAAAACTTCCGAAGAAAAATCGTTGTACTCTCTTTGGCGTTACTAATGGATTACTCCGGCATAGGTATATTTAAGTATGTAGACCAGCTCCTATTTAATAAACGAACCTAAAACTAAATTTGTCTGTTTTCAATTCTCTTTGAATCCCCGCAAAAGTTTTAGTCTCGTTTTAGTTAAAAACTCGTTAAACTCTCGGCATTGTTTTTTTTTTGTTTGAGTTGTATTTTATGTTGTTTATAAATAGCAATGTAAAGTTGTCAAATTGTAACGAATTTTTCTCACAGCTCTTTTCATGGAGCACATATTTATGTAAGGAACTCTTACAAAGCAACTAGAAAATAAATCAATTCCAGAGCATTTTTTTGTGTATATACGTAAATATAAACGTATGTACATATATGTATATAATCTACAAAACATATATGTATGATAAAATAAAAGCAAGAAAAAACAGAATGCACAAAATCCTATCCACTAAATATAATCAATTACATATTTGTTTATTTATATACATACGTACATACTTTTTATATAAACATATATGTATGTATATTAACCCAATTTAACACTTATAGAAAAAGTCCCACATAAAAAACTACAACTGTGCATTTGCATTTTTTTTTTTTTTGTATATCGACAAACAATTTAATTCGTTTTGCAAATCTAATCAAAATTGCAATTATAAACGCTTAATTTAAGTACTTAAGTACTTATGTACTTAAAGGTTTGTATTATGTACACACGTATATACATATATACATTTGTACATGCAGCTCTCAACCATCCGCCATAACTAGTGACACAATCAACTATGTGCGATATTTAACAGTTGATTAAAACTTAATTTTGCGCAAATAAATATTGACGATAAATGTTTAATTAAGCATGTACAGTGGTTGAAAAAATTATAGCCGCACAACATTTCGACAAGTTTCAAAATATTGTTTTTTTTTTTTTATTTAATTTGGTTTATTTTTTATTTTTTTATATAATTCATTCTTTGACAAACCCCGAGTAAATCCAAGTTTCAAACTTTGTGCAATGTTAGAAAAAAATCAACATACTTTCGTAAATGTATCGAGCTCTTTTTATGAAATTTCCTAAAAATATTCTGAGTACGCAGTTTTGTAGTCCATTGAATTTTAGTAGCATAAAGTACAAGTTTGAAATAGCTAAAAATTACTGCTGATTTTTTTAGAATTTTTTTTGTTGAAGATATTATGGTTTTCTTCCCTATAAAAATAAATCGTGTCTTACAGCGTTATGATTACAGCAGAAAGTGGGGTCTTAAAGTCAATATAGCAAAATCCAAAATTTTGATATTTAGGAGGGGTAACAGAGTTGCTTCTTGGTATAGCTGGAACTTTGGTAATGAGCCCATTGGGATTGTGATCGAATGCAAATACCTTGGTATCACTCTGAGCTATAAACTCGCTCATTCCGTCAACGCTACTTGTCTAAAATGCATTAATAATCTAAGTTTCTATATATCTGAAAAATTTTTAATTTTCGCCGCAGCTGCGAGATCGATACTATTTTACGGAGTACAAATATGGGGTATAGATAAACATGAATCGGTAGAGAAATATCCGTATGTATGTTCTACAGATATATACTATTTTAAAGACGAATTTTCCGCTCATGAAATCGGTTTGGTTTTTGTGCGCAAGAGGTGGGCTACTGAACATAAATGCGTAAACTTTCAAGAACGTTGTTGTTGTTGTTATTGTAGCGGCTACAACAACCCCGCCCAGATCGGTTAGTCCCTCAATCGTTGTCGTCAAGCTTCACTAACGGCAGCCCTTGGAAGCGTGCAGCCTCGACGGGGTCTGTCCATAGGGGCAGGGACGTTAGCGTGGTGGGGTTTAGAGGGCATACGAACAGATGCTGTGAGTCATGGGGCGACTCTCCGCATGTCGGGCATTCGTTGGGAATGTCTTCGATTAATCTGCTGAGGTATGAGTTCAACCTGCTGCAGTAACCAGAGCGCAGTTGGGCTATTGTGGTTCGAGTCTCCCGAAGCAGACGAAGTTCTGTCTCGTCTACGTCTGGTGATTGCGTGCCCAGAACGGCAATCACAGGTCGGGAGTCTACATAACTCAAGACTGCCTCTCTGTGAATGCCGTTCAAGGCCTGTCGATAAGCTGTCGGGCCCAGAGGTTGTCTGATGAACCTCTGGACTTCGTCCGTCAGTTCGTAAAGATGCCTCCTGACGTGCCTGGGTGAAGGCTCTTCTGCAAGGAGTTGCCTGTTTGGATGGCCAGTTTGTACCTAACTTGGGGAAGGTAGAAAATACACTCCACGTTCTTGGTACATGTCCAATCTATAGTCGGTTTGGAATCTGGCTAAAGTAATGAACATTTTAAATGGCTGTGATTACTCAGCTTTGTACACTTACTTATCACACTGTTTAAGGTATAGGAAGTTAATTTTAACGAAATTCTCATAAACCACACTAAATTTATTATTATTCAGCCATTTGAGGCTGGCACTCTATTCTTCTAGGATTTAATGGGCTTCAAAACTGTATACTCTGAATCTTTCTGGGAAATCTTATTAAAAAAGTTCCAAATTTGTACGAAAGTTGGTTGATTTTTTTTTTTTTTGATGTTGCACAAAGTTTGAAACTGTGATTTACACGAGTTAAGTTAGAGAATGAACTATATATATATATATTTTTTTAAATAACCAAAATTAAATAGCTACAAAATAGTATGTTAAAACTTGTCAAAATGTGGTGCGGCTATAATTTCTCGAACACTGTACATATATATGACTATATATATATCAAGTTTGTTAGTGTGCATGTATTTTACAGTGAAACAGAATCGATAAACATCAAACCAACCATACTCTCCGCATTAAGTGCGTCCTACTGCGTTCCGTGTATAAATATATAAAAATGTCTGTACTATATATGCAAAAAAAAACATGTGCATATGTGTATGTTAGATAGATATATATGGTAGATGCATCGATCCATTTGAGACTTTGCACAATGCGCCCATCAAGTTTAGCATGATCTGCTGTGTCATCAACCCAATATGGGTATTCATTTAATCGCGTAAATGCTTCGTAGCAGCGTAAACCTCGTACATAAACCGGGTTTCCCCACTAAATTAAGTAAGTTTACGAGGTTTACGTATTTACGAAGCATTTATGACAGTTGAGAAGTGCAAGCAATTTAAATGTCGTGTAAACATCCTGCTTGCCCTAGATGATTTGGCCATCTGGTGAATGCAACATAAGTTAGGAAAAGGCCATGATTAAAACATAGCTATGTATACACACATACATATACAGAGATCCACTAAAGTCTTCGTACAGCACCTTTTTCAAACTGTATTAACAAAGAACTGCGGTGATTAGCAGAAATAAAAATATAAAAAAAATATGGATGAAAATTGATTTATTAGGTATTTCTTTGTAAAACAATAAGTAAAAGAATTTCATTTTATTTATACTTCAAAAGTTATTAGCTAAAACCTAAAAACACTCGTTAATTTTTTCTTTCACTAAAGTCTTCGTACATTTATGAGCTAATTAAGCAATAAACGCCACTACCACCTTGTTGTACAGTTTTGAGCGTCTTCCATTAGACCCAAAAAAAAAATTTTTTTGGATTCGGCGACACTGTGCCAGAACTCACGAACGAACTCCAAAAGCTTTTTACGGTTCACTGCATTAACGAAAACTTCCGGTTAGGTGTTCGAGACCGTAACATTCATCGCTTTTCGTATACATAGTTTCAAGATGCACTGCTTTTTGTTTGGATTTAAGAAGTGATGCAATGATTTGCTATGCACTTAGGAATGGATGCTCGCTTGCCATCGGTTTTATTTGTCGTCTATCCCCATGAGTGAGAACTACAGGCTGCTCTGAGTTGGGTTTATAAATAGTAAAATGTTTACAGCAGAATGTCAAGAGAGTGCAACAACTATTCACCTGCAAGTTTTTACTAGTTTTGTGGTCAATAACTCTTCTTCTCAATTTCACGCTCTATTTTTCTTTTACGCGCTACAATTTTTTACTGCAGAGGTTGCTATACACACCTATTGCTAGAGATGAACAATTTGCAACAACAAATGAAAACACTAATGTACGAAAACATTATTGGATGCAAGTTATCGATTTTTTTTCTTTTAGGCTTATAACTTCCGCTCAAATTAAAAAAAAAGAAAAATATTTTGATGATTTGTGAAACATAAATTTTTTTGTAAAAGATTTACATTCAAACTTAAAAAAAAAAATAGCACAACTACGCTTTATATATATAAAATTTGCAAAAATTTGCGTCTAGATTTCGATCTTCGTATTCAGCATTTTTTAGAACAAATTTTCTACAAATTCAGCTAAAATACGGTGTTAACTTTGATGACGATGGCTTGTGCAAACTGTTTCGGTTTACTTTAAAAATTGTGGGTGGACGGTAGCCATAACACCACCAACACGCAGAGCTCCCAACTCTTTTGCCGTTGAGAAAATATCAAATATTTTCAACGCATTATGTAGACACAGTGATTCAAACTAGTGTCCGCTCCGATGTTGATTCTTTTCCAACATTTATTGTTTTTCAAGTTACAGTTTTTTGTTATATTTTTATAAAAATATTGTTCATTCTTTATACATATGTACATATATCAAAGTTTAGGACTTTATACAAAGTAAAAAAAAAAATCTAAAAATGTTCAACAAAATTTCGAAATTTGTATTCTGAATCTTTAGTTTCATAGCCCAAATAAGTATTCCCGCCCATGCTGATTTTTTATCAAACATTCAACATTCAGTTTTATTCAACTTGAATTTTTTTTTATAAAAATATTGTTCAAGCTATCAAAGTTTCAAACTGTAAAGAAAATTAACGCATTTATTTATCGAATTTTCGAAATTGTTAAGCTGAATTTAGTTTAGTTAGCTCATAAAATTTTAGTAGTTTTTATAAATTACACTTCATATAATTAATAGAACCGCAAAAGACCGAGTTTCACTGCACTTTATTTTACATACTAAAATTGTATAGGCTATAAAGCCATTGAAAGACTTTTATTTACATTTTCATAAACAATATTTTTATAAAATAATATAATATAAAAAAAAAAGACTTTTATTTACATTTTC